GGTTCAGCATCCACACTGGTCCCAGGGGAGCAGCCAGGAACCCTGACCTTGCAAATCCAATGGTTAAGCTTTAGCCTGCGCCTTACTTGACTATCTGCCTTTGGCTCTCAGAACATCCTCCTCTCCTCTCCAGCTGCCCTTACTTTCCTTCACTGGCCCTGTCCTCTTCCTGACCTCTACGGGTGGTGTAGGGGACAGGGGACAATGACTTCTTCCCTATCAAATATTCAGATCTATCCAATATGGTTGCCACTAACCACATGGGCTGTTTAAAATTTAAATTGATTAATATTAAATAAGATTAAAATTTCAGTTTAACAGTCCTACTTGCTACATGGCAAGCACTCAATAGCCACATATGGCTGGTGGCTGCCATACTGGGCAGCAGAGAACATCATTACAGAAACAGTTCTACTGGCAAGACTTCCTTAGACGGGTTCCTCCAGTCCCTCATCTTTAATGCCATCCGCAAGCTGCCTCCACACCTGAATACCCAACTGCCTACTCTCCATCTCCACATAAATGTCTAATAGACATCTCTAGCTTGACATGGACAGACCCAGTTCCCAATCCTCCCTGCCAAACATGCTTGCCCTTCTCTCTCCATCCTTCCAGTTGCTCAGGCCAAATACCTCGGAGTCACCCTTGACTCTCTTATTCCATTACAATCCTCATCAAGTCCATCCTCAAGTCCTACCAGCTTGACCTTCAAGACAAATCCAGAATATGACCACTCTTCCCTACTTCCATGGTCCAGTCACCAGCATCTCATGCCTCCTAACTAGGGTCCTGGCTTTGGCCCTGGCCCCTACAGCCTGTCCTCAACACAGCAACTAGACGGATCCTGCCAACCCTTAAAGCAGATGGGGTCAGTTCCTCTGCTCAAAATCCTTTTGCTGTCTCACCCAAGACAGAATAAAATCCAGATTCCTTACCCTTAGGGTGGCTGTTACCTCCCTAGCAGTCTTTATCATTCTTTTTTGTTTTTGGCTGCGTTTGTGGGATCTTAGTTCCCTGACCAGAGATTGAACCCGCGCCCTTGGCAGTGAAAGCACAGAGCGCTAACCACTGGACAGCCAGGGAATTCCTTTTATTTTTTTACACTTAACAATGGTTAAATTGGTAATTTTTTAAAAAAATTATTTATTTATTTATTTTTGGCTGCGTTGGGTCTTCGTTGCTGTGTGCGGGCTTTCTCTAGTTGTGGCGAGCGGGGGCTACTCTTTGTTGCGGTGCGTGGGCTTCTCATTGTGGTGGCTTCTCTTGTTGCAGAGCACAGGCTCTAGGCACGCGGGCTTCAGTAGTTGTGGCTCACGGGCTCTAGAGCACAGGCTCAGTAGTTGTGGCGCACGGGCTTAGTTGCTCCACGGCATGTGGGATCTTCCCGGACCAGGGCTCAAACCTGTGTCCCCTGCATTGGCAGGCAGACTCTTAACCACTGCGCCACCAGGGAAGTCCAGTAATTTTTATTTATGAGTTTTTTTTTTGAAGTATAGTTGCTTTACACTATTGTGTTAGTTTCTACTGTACAGCAAAGCGAACCAGCTATACGTATACATATATCCCCTCTTTTTTGGATTTCCTTCCCATTTAGGTCACCACAGAGCACTGAGTAGAGTTCCCTGTGCTGTACAGTAGGTTCTCATCAGTTACTTATTTTATACATAGTATCAATAGTGTATATATGTCAATCCCAATCTCCCAATTCATCCCACACCCCCCAGGAATTCCCTTTCTTATCATTCTTCTCTTCAAGCGTTCGGCCCCAGTGACCTTGGAAACCCACCAAGTTCATTCTCCCCTGCATGTGCTTGCTATGCCCCCCATCTAGACAAATATCTTCGAGGCTCACCCCCTCAATTCACTGAGGTCTTGGTTCAAATGTCATCTCTCTTGAGCAGTGCTGTCCAATCCAGCAGCCACTAGCCACATGGGGCAAATGAAATTTAAATGAGTAACAATCAAATACAATGAAAGATTCATTTTCTTGACATTATGCTAAGTGAAATAAGCCAGTCACAAAAAAGACAAATACTCTACAATTCCACTTATATGAGGTAGCTAGAAGAGTCAAATTCATAGACAAAAGAGAATAGAAGTTATGAGGGGATGTGGGAGGGGTCATGGGGAGCGGATGATTAATACAGAGTTTCAGTTTTGCAAGGATGAAAAGACTGTTGCACAATAATGTGAGTATGCTTAACACTATTGATATGTACACTTAAAAATGGCTAAGATGGTAGATTTTATGTCAAGTGTATTTTACCACAATTACAAATTTTAAAAAATTTAATTGATCAGGGGCTTCTCTGGTGGTATAGCCATTAAGAATCTGCCTGCCAATGCAGGGGACATGGGTTCAAACCCTGGTCTGGGAAGATCCCACATGCTGCGGAGCAACTAAGCCCGTGCGCCACAACTACTGAGCCAGTGTGCTACAACTACTGAATCCCACACGTCTAGAGCCTGTGCTCTGCAACAAGAGAAGCCACTGCTGTGAGAAGTCCACTCACTGCAACATAGAGTAGCCCCTGCTCAGTGCAGCTAGAGAAAGTGTACACGCAGCAATGAAGACCCAACGCAGCCAAAAATAAATAAATTAAATAAATTAAAAAATTTTTTGATTGATTAAAATTCAATCTCTTAGTTGTAAAACCCACATTTCAAGTGCTTAATTAATAATAATAGCCACATGGGAACTAATAAGAACCTACTGTATAGCACAGGGAACTCTACTCAATACTCTATAATGACCTATATGGGAAAAAAAATCTAAAAAAGACTGGATATATGTATATGCATAACTGATTCACTTTGCTGTATAGCAGAAACTAACACAACACTGTAAATCAACTATACTCCAATAAAAATTAATTAAAATGAAAGAACAAATGATGCTGGGTTAATAAATTGCCTCATTCGTTTAAAAAAAAAAAAGGGACTTCCCTGGCGGTCCAATGGTTAGGACTCCGTGCTTTCACTGCAGGGGACACAGGTTTGATCTCTGGTCAGGGAACTAAGATCCCACATGCCATGCTGTACAGCCAAAAAAGAAAAAGAAAATAAAGCCAAATGGGTCTGGTGTCTGCTGTACTGGACAACACAGCTGCAGAACACTTCCATCAGCATAGGAAGTTCTATTGGACAGTGCTGGTCTAGCAAAAATCTCTCCAGACCAGGCTATCTAAAATCATCATTCTAGACCTTTAATCCCACTGTCCTCCTTTCCATGGTAATGTGACTACCTGATCATCTACTATAGAATCTACTTCACTGATTCTAAGATGCACTGTTTTTCTCCCCATATTTTATCATCCATAAAATTAGGAGGCATCTTATCATCGATGATGTGTTGGTTTAATGGGCAGTTTATGTAAAATTCAAGTGTTCAAGTGTTCATCTTATGTTCCAATGGTCACTTAGATTCATTGAACTACAGAACTATCTGTTTGCCTGATCACTGGTTCTGTGATGCCAGGGGGACTTTCTTTTGCTCACAGCTGTACACACAGGGTCTCCGTGAAGCTTGGTCCTTAGAGGTCTCTTCGTAAACATTTGCTGAATGAATGAATCAGACCCTGCTAAGCTCTGGTGACAGGCTACAGCATTTGGTTCGGGTTCCTGGGCACACCTGAGGGGGCCTGGCAAAAAGTGGTATCAGGGGAATTCCCTGGTGATCCAGCGGTTAGGACTCCACACTTTCGCTGCCGAGGGCCCCGGTTCGGTCCCTGGTCCGGGAACTAAGCTCCCGCAAGCCACACGGTGCAAAAAAAAAAAGTAGTGACATCAGGACATAAGATCCAGATTCAGAGCAAACGCCTGGCATTTGGAGATTGGAATTAGAGGATGGACACAGAGGTGGTGTTTCCAGATAGGAAGAAAATGAAGGGGACCATGCCCCTGAATCACCATGGAGAAGGGGCTTCCCGGGTCCCTGGAGGCCTGGTTACTAGGGAGCAGCCCCTACTTAGCGAGAGGGCCCCCAGAAGTGACCGGGGCTTCTGGAATGCCATGGGAGGGGGACCCAGGCCTAGACAAGCCTGGTTTGCTCAGTTAGGGACACCAGTCAGTCCTTAGAACCCAGAGGCCTGGTGTATCCCAGAAAAAATGATGAGCTCTTCCATGGAAGATCCTATTCCCAACAACAGGGAGGGATAGGGCCTTCTAGACCACCAGGGGAGAGGGGCTCAGACCTCTTTGGCCTCCCTAAGCCCCGTGAGTTAGGGAGACTCCTTCTTAGCATTCAGGCCCCAGAAAGGTCAGAGCCTCAGCGTTAGCCTGGGTCTTGGGACTCCTTCCTTACCATGCAGTATGAAGAAGGTCTTGGGGTTAAACCTGTTGGGGTCCAATCCATCCAGTTCCTCCCATACCTCCTTCAACTGGGCTTGGCTGCCCTGTGGAAGGGAGAGCCGGGGGCTCGTGAGCAAGAGGTCTGGGTCCCATAGGATAAAGCTAGAGAACCCTTTACCCCCATCCCTCAAAAGTCATTCCCCTCAAGAAAACTACAAATCCCAGCAGCCCCTGGAGGCAGCTGGGTACATTAAAAGGGGCCTTTTGCCTCAAGGTCTGCTGGGAGTTGTAGTTTTTCAGCTACTTTCTTGGGGCGCTTGGAAAGTTGGACATGGCTGTGGGGGCGGGGGTAGGCATGAATGGGGGTCCTTACAGGCACATTGACTTTGGGGTGTTCTCGGTGCCGGCGCTGTTGCTCTTCCAGCTTCCTCTCTGCCTCCTTTCGCTGCTCCTCTCCCAGGGACTCCAGATAACGGCGTCTTTCGTGTTCCTTGAGCATCTCGTAGCGCTTGAACTCTTCATGATGGGCTGCGTCGTACTGGGCAAGGTCCCGGGTGGCCTGGGGAAAGGCAGACGGTCACTCTCACCTCACTTCTATGCCCAGCCCCTAATTCCAAACTCCGAATGCCAGGCCTTTGGCTCTGAACCTGGCCCAGCTTCCACGTGTGCTGGGTCTTATGTCCCGATGTCACTTTTGTCCCATAATACATAGCCTCCTCTCTTCGGTCAAAAGACGAGGATGGTTACACAATAGCAACTTTAACCCACTTCTTTCAAGTCCTCCACAATCTCAAGATCTTGGAGGAATAAATAATAAGGAACAGCACATGAGGTGACTTAATATGGAAAGCAGTACAGCTAGGGGGTAAACAACATGAGGTCTCTAATTATTCTGCCCAGGGTTCAAATCTAGGCTCTGCCATGTGAACAAATCCTGCTAGCTGTGTGACCTTGGGCAAGTTACTCATTCTCTCTGTGCCTCAGTTTCTGCCTCTGGAAAATGGTGATAACAATACTATACTGGGTTGTATAGGGTCCCCCCAGAATTCATGTGCACCCAGAACCTCAGAATGTGACTTTACTTGGAAACAGGATCTTTGCAGATGTAATTAGTTAAGATGAGGTCCTGCTGGATTAGGGTGGGCCCTAATTCTAATGACTAGTGTCTTTACAAGAAGGCTACAGAGAAGACACAGAGAGACACAGGGAGAATGCCACGTGATGGTGGAGGCAGAGACTGGAGTGATGTGTCTACAAGCCAAGGAATGCTGGCAACCCCCAGAAGCTGGAAGAGGCAAGAAGCAGAGGCCTCTAAGGAAACCTTGGTTTTGGTCCAGTGATACCGATTTTCAACTGCTGGCCTCCAGAACTGTGAGAGGATAGCTTTCTGTTGTCTTAAGTCACTGAGTCTGTGGTAATTTGTTATATGGCAGCAAGAGAAAATCAATAGAGCTGTTGTGTGGGGAACAGATGGAGGTTCTCAACCTGGGGTGACTGCGGTCCCCAGGGGACAGCAGTCAATGTTTGAAGATATTGTTGGTTGTCACAACTAGGAGAGGTCTACTGGAATCTAGTTGGTAGAGGCCAGGGATGCTGCTAAACATCACACAATGCACAAACAGCCCCCAGAGCAAAGAATTATCCAGCCCCAAGTGTCAAGAGTGCCGAGTCGAGAAACCCTGCTGTTGAGTGTGGAAGGCAGAAGCAAGGAGCCCATCTCTGGGGTTGAGACCAGGAGAATGACAGAGCAGCTGCAGGAAAGCGGACAGTTTCTGGAATGTTCTGGAAATAAGAGGCAAAACCATCTCTCGGCGACGAAGGTCAGGCATGGACTCAATCAAATGGCTGCTATTATCTTTATGGCCACTAGATGGAGCTCCAGTCAGCCAGAAAAGCAGGCTGAGGCTCAAGTCAGGCAGAGAGGTAGGTTCTGTCCTGGGGGTGCTGGGGAGCTACAGAAGGGATGTGAGCAGGGAACAGGCAGGGGCAGACCTGAGCATCCCGTGCCACTCCCCAGCCCCGAACCTGGCCTTCCCGACGAGGCAGGGCTGTAGATCCTACTTCTCACATGAAGACTACGTTTGTTTCTGTGCTGCTCTAACAAATTATTATTTATCGTGGCTTAACACACACTCATCATCTTACAGCATGGAGGCCAGGGTCTGAAATCAGTTTCACTGGGCTGCAATAACAGTGTTGGTAGAGACGTGCTCCTTCCAGAGACTCTAGGAGAGAACATTCTTCTTTGCCTTTTCCAGTTTCTAGAGCTGCACACGTGCCTGTGGCCCCTTCATCCATCTTCAAAGTCAGCAGCAGAGCCACCTTGCTTTGGTCGCCACACTGTCGCCCTCTAATGTAGTCAGATCTCCCTCTGCTTCCCTCTTTTTTATGTTATGTTATGTTATTTATTAATTTCTTTGGCCGTACCACATGGCTTACGGGATCTCAGTTCCCCAACCAGGGATTGAACCTGGGCCTTGGCTGTGAAAGCCCAGAATCCTAACCACTAGGCCACCAGGGAACTCCCTGCATCCCTCGTACAAGGACCCTTGTGATGACACTTAGGGCCCACCTGGATAACCGAGGCTCATCCCCCCCATCTCAAGCTCCTCAGCTTAATCACAACTGCAAAGTCTGTTTTGCCACATCAGGTCACAGAGCCAGAGGTTCTGCAGACAGCATGTGACGTCTTTTGAGGGGCCATTATTCTGCCTACAGCAAGGACACAGAGGGAATTCCTGCCCCCAGTTATAGGGGAGGGATTTGAATCTAGATGTGAGTGGAGCCAACCCCCCGACCCTGACACACACGCACACAGCTCCACTTTCCTGTAGAGAATCTGGGGAAGGTTTTTAGGCACAACCAGCCCTTCTGCAGCCACTGGCCTCAGAGAACACCAGGCAGGGGTGAGTGGGCTCACATCCCAGCCTCTGCTCCCTTCTCCCCCTCTACAAAGCTTCCCTCAGTCCTCTGCCCCCAGGTCCCCCTCAACCTACTGTCTGGATCAGCAGCTCCAGGTCCCGGGCCTCAAATGTGTGCTGATTCTGAGGGTCCAGGTGTTCAAATTGCTTCAGGAGGCTCAGGTGATCCAACTGTACATCTGGATGAGAGGGAAGATGGGGTGGGGGGTGGTGAACAACTCATGGAATGTTCTTTCTTTCAAAATCCCTATCCTGTGGGAATTCCCTGGAAGTCCAGTGGTTAGGACTCAGCGCTTCCACTGCTGGGGGCCGTGTTCGACCCCTGGTTGGGAAACTAAGATCCCACAAGCCACGTACAAACAAACAAACAAACAAACAAACAAAAATTATCCTGGGCTGGATGTGCTCTAAAGGAGGTCACAGAGGGCACAGGAGAAACCCACAGAGGATGGCCTGAATGAGCCTGGAGCAATCAGGGAGGGTTTCCTGGACGAGGTCTGATGCTGAAAATAATAATAACCATGATGATAACCAACATTTATCAAACATGTACTATGTGCCAGGCTGTGCTCTAACTATATTAAATATATTAATGCATTTACTTTTCACAAAAATCTCACATAGGTTCTGTGATTATCCCATTTTATGGATGTGAAAACTGAGGCCCAGAGAGGGGAAGTGACGTCTAGGTCACCATCTAGGAAGAGGCAGAGTGAGGATTAGTTGGGCTCCAGAGCACATGACACTTTATTCTGTTATGGGTTGAATTGCATGCCCCCAAATTCACAGGGAGGTTGATAGCCCCCAGTATCTCAGAATGTGACCTTATTTGGAGAGAGGGGCTTTACAGAGGTGATCAAGTTAAAATGAGGTCATGGGGATGAGCCCTAATCCCATATGACAGGAGTCCTTATAAAAAGAGAAAATTTGGACACAGAGGGAAGACAATGTGAGTAGACGTGGCGGGGGCGGGGGGTAGGAGTGGCCATCTCCAAATCAAAGAGAAAGACCCAGAACAGATTCTCCCGCACAGCCCTCGGAAGGAAACCCCCCCCCCCACGCTGACACCTTGATTTTTGACTTCTGGCTTCCAGAACTGTGAGACAATCAATGTCTATTGTTTAAGCCACCCGGCCTGTGGTACTTTGTTACAGAAGCCCTAGCAAAGTAATGCAGCCTCCTTGTACGAGAGTTTCCCGGCAGAGAGGGAGAGAGCAGGACACACTTGGCACGCACTCATCCACTGGACACACATCTTGAGAGGCCTCCTGGGGGCCCCCATGTGAATCAGACCTGGGCTTGCACCTCCAGTGGCTCCTGGGCTGGTGGGGGTGAGAGGCACACACAGGAGAGGCAGCTGGAATCCAGGTGACTCAGGCTGTAGTGGCGGCAGCTCTGGGCCTGAGTGAGCCCAGAGGAGGGACAGACCCAGGAGACAGGCACAGATCAAGTCTCATAATTCATTATTCATGCCACAGATATGTGTTGAGCCGTACTCTGGGCCCGACCCTGTGCCTAGCACTGTGGACACAGCAGGAACCAGATGGTGACGGCATCTGTCCCCTGGAGCACCCGGTAAAGATGGAGAACAGGTGAGTAAGGGACAAACACACGACCACAAAGGACTCAAACAAATGGAGGACTCTTCACGCAGGACGGTCAGGGCAGGACGAGGGAGGCGACATCTGGGCTGAGACCAAAGCTCCACTGGCCATGCCAAGAGCCCCGAGAAAGAATGTCACAGGCAAAAGTCCCAAGGTGAGAAAGATGTGTTACCCTCCGTACTAAAAATGCTGATGCCAGAGGGTCGGGTGAGAGGGCACACATGTAAAGGGAGGGGCTGGGACAGGCGTGGCAGGGCTCAGCTTGGCCTCCAACTAGCAAGGAGTGTGGACTTGATCCTGAGGGCACTGGGGAGCCATGGCTGGTTCTGAGCACAGGAGGGACAGGATTTGAACTGGGTGCTGTGATAGGCTGAATAAAGGCCCCCCCCGCAAGATGTCCACATCTGAATCCCTGGAACCTATGAATATGTGATCTCATGGGGCAAAAGGGACTTTGCAGATGTGATCAAATTAAGGATATTGAGATGGGGAGATGATCCTGGATTAACTGGAGAAGGGGGCTAAATGTAATCCTTGTAAGAGGGAAGCAGCAGGAGATCTGACTACAAAAGAATGCCATGTGATGACTGGAGAAAAACGCTACGCTGCTGGATTTGAAGAGGTTCCCAGCCTAGGAATGAAGCCTTGGAAGCTGGAAAAGGCAAGGAAACAGATTCCCCCCCATAGCACCTCCAGAACTAACGGAGCCCTGCTGACACCTTGATTTTGGCCCAGTGAAACTGATTTTGGATTTCTGATCTCCAAAAGGTACAGAGAATAAATGTGTGTTGTTTTAAGCCACTAAGTTGTTGCTGATTTGTTACAGCAGCCACAGGAAATGAATCCAGATATTAACAGGATTCTGTTAAGAACGGCTGTTCTACGGGAAATAGTGGGAAAAGCAAGGGCGGCGGCAGGGTGCCCAGGGAGGAGGAGACTGCGCTGATCCAAGTGGGACCCAGTGACAGCAATGGACGTGGAGAGAAGTAATCAGATTCTGGAGATTCCTGAGTTGTTGAAGGGACAAAAGTTGAAGTACATAGCTTAGCGTATGGGATGTAATAAGCAACCAACTGATGGGAGGGATTTTTTCTCATTCATGACAAGGGAGCATCCAGTTTACCAGAGATCAAGTCAGACTCCGAAACTGTAGTAATTAAAACAGCAAGACAGAGAAGGCATGGATGGTTATGCAGAAGGAGGCCAGAGACCATGCCCGTCTGGTCACCTTAGAGCCCCAGCACCCTGCTCAGTGCCTGGCACAGAGTAGAACTCAAGACATATTTGATCAATGGATAAGAGGCATCAGATAGGAATGAAAACAAAGCTCAGCTCTCTTACTGACCCTTAACACCATCTACCAACGTTCAGGGTCCCCATCTGTAACACAGGAGCCTCAAGGGGGTCAGGAGATGAAAGAAGAAGCTGGAGGTAAATCTCAATAAAATGGGATTGTTCTTACACTTAGTGATGAGCCAAAAGGTGCCCCAGGAGTACCAGAATATCCCACAAAGCTACAATGAGTAAAACAGCATGGTCCATTGTAGCCAATGGATGCAAACAACACATATCCATCAATGGATGAACGGACAAACTAAATATGGTAGATCCAGACAAGGGAATATTACTTGGCCCTAAAAAGGAATGAAGCAGTGATGCATGCTACAGTGTGGATGAACCTTGAAAATATTACACTAGAAGAAGCCAGACACAAAAGATCATTTATCATATGATTCCATCTATACCAAATGTCCATAACAGGCAAATTTATAGAGACAGAAAGTAGGTTGCCAGGGGTGCGGGGGGGAATAGAGGGGTGCTAGTTACATGGTCTAGTGATTCTTTTTGGAGTGATAAAGGTGTTCTAAAATTGACTTTGATGATGGTTGCACATACCTGTGAATATACTAATCACTGAACTGTACACTTCAAATGGGTAAATTGTTTGGTACATGAATCATATCTCAATAAAGTCATTTAAAAGAAATAGCATGGTCCAGACGCATGCTCCAAGAAACTATATCTAGGAATGTTAGAAATAAGATGGGATCTTGGAATTTAAATCCACTCAAATCTCCCTCTTCCAGGTACATTTTTTTTTCTTTTCTTTCTTTGTTTTTCTTTTTTAGCCATACAATTAGACTATAAAATATAGCCTCACATATAAATGCCAGGAAATTAGAATCATTCTAGTGGGGGAGAGAGAGAATAAGTAAGCAAGGAAAAATACAGTGTAACCTGTTGAACTTCCTGACTTTGATCACTGTACTATAGTATTGTAGGAGAACATTGTTGTTCTGAGAAAAATCACACTGAAATATTTAGGCATAAAGGAATACGGTGTCTGCAAGGAACTCACAAATGTGAACTACAGATAAATGGAGCAAATGTTAACAATTACAGAATCTGGGCTAAGGGTATTTGAGAGTTTTTGGTCGTATTCTTGCAACTTTTCTGTAAGTTTGAAGTGACATCAAAATTTTAAATGACCCTGATTTGTTAAAATAAAAATTAAAAACACATCAAAAACCACCCAAGCAACTAAAATTACTAACATCTCCCGAGTAATGTTAATAGTAGATTGTGCTAGGAAGAAAACTTGATCAATCTTCCATGCAGATTTTACAGGGGTGGAGAGAATGAGGCCCCAGTTGGCTCCACCTGCCAAAATCACCTGGAGGCCAGGGAGGGAGGCTGCCCCATGACCCCCAACATCGCCAGCTCCACCCACCCCACCGGCCCTGCCCACCCCACTGGCCTGCTTACTGGGCTCCTGCTGGGCGTCCATCTTGGCCTTGAGCAGCATCCGCAGCCTTGACACCTCCTGCCGCTTGAGTTCATCCAGTTTGGTGCGGACATGGTGGCTGACGAAGTCCAGCTCCCGGCTCAGCTTCCCGCTCTGCCCGGAAGAGAGGGGACACAAATCAGGCTGCCCTCTCTGGAGCCTTCTACCAGCTTTCTGATAGAAAGCTCATCACATCACACTATGATGAGTCAAGTCCTGCCCTGGACTCACTACTTTGAAACGTCTGATGCCTCCTGGGGTTCCCCAGAGGTCCCGAGACAAGATTCCAGCCCCTCAGCCTGGCATTGGAGGCCCTTCTTATTTCCCGTCACTCATCGGATCACACACATGGCTCACGGCCCACTTCCCACTTCTAGGCCTTTACACATGCTGGTCCCTCTGCCTGGGATTCTCCCTGTCATTGCTTTCCAAGCCTAACCGGGTCCTTACAGTCCTTCAAAACTCAAAGCATACTATAGAGCACAGGGAACTCTATTCAATATCCTGTGATGAACCATAATGGAAAAGAATATGAAAAAGAATACATATATGAAAAAAAAAGAATACATATATGTATAACTGAGTCACCTTGCTGTACAGAAGAAATTAACACAACATTGTAAACCAACTATATCTCAATAAAATTAAAACAAACAAGCAAAATAAACTCAAAGCAGATGGCACCTCCCTTGGAAGGCTCCCCGACAACCCCCTTGACGCCACCACACACACACACACACACACACACACACACACACACACACTCTCTCTCTCTCTCTCTCTCTCTCTCTCTCTCTCTCTCTCTCTCTCACGTGCTGAGCAGGGTGCCTTCTCTGAGTTATCTCTTTCATCACTTTGGATTATGTCTGTTTCTCAATTGTGCTGACCCCCACCCCTCCCCTTCTCACAGTCCCCCACCCCCGTGGCTCCCCAATGCCCACAGGACCGAATCCCTGGGCCTAACACTGAAGATCCTGCAAGATCCTGCATCTGCCCATGCCTACCCCTCCTCCCTGCCGGCCCCGCTCCAGCCCCATCCCTCTGTCTTTATGTCAGTTATAAGGAGCCACCAGCAGACAGCTGAAAGTACCAGAATGCTTCATTGGTACACACAGTTCTACTTTGAAACGTCACTCTTCCCCG